TTAACTGTTTCTATTGCAGACGCAAATTCCTCAGGCAATCTAAACACCTCTAAACTTCATGTGCTCACTGTAATATGATGGTTTTAGGCTACCAAGAGGAAACCAAATGACTACATGCAAAGAGCTGGCGGATACATCCTGTTCTTCCACTGAGTCAAAAAAAAAAAAAAAAAAAGGCGTCTAGTTAGTTTGCAGCAAAAACTTAAAAGCTATCTAGTTTCAGATCCTCGCTACCTCCCCCACTTGCTATTCTGGGCTTGCAATGACTCTACATCAGAAGAGTAATTATTTTTTTAAGCATTAAAATATGCCATTAATGCTTACCTGTACTGTTCAGTTCCACGGTGTGATAGAAAGTCTATGAATTCATTGTCCCAATTATGACAGGGACAATTTGAAATCATCATTTTGGGCAATTTTCCAAATTTTCTCATGACACTGAGCAAACAGTTTTAGTTATATTATGGCATTAAACAGCACCCATGCCTATTTATTCCCGAATATTTCACCTGCTCTCAGCTTTTCTGCCACCATCTAAGGACTTTGCTATAAGACAACATTTATGATACTATGCTACGGCCTAACAAATCTTCTTGTCCCTTCCCTATTAGTAACTGTTACAATAGCGTCAATAACTGGCAGAAAAATACATCATTCATTATCTGACAGACTATTCTGGCATTTAATCTTATTCTCAGAAGGGGCTAGGTGGGAGGCATACCCACATAAAAATTTATTGTGTTTCAAACTGAGAATGCTTTAAAGATTCTTTCTATTTTCATCTGTGAGGAAGTTCAACTAGATCAATGGGTATCAGACATTTTCCTCATCATTGGTTACATAAGAGAGTAATAATTTTTTCCAGGTGATCTATTAACAATTACCTTGTTTTGATTCCTGAACAGGTGACTGTTTGCACATTCCCATATGTTGACTGTTTTATTATTTCACAGCCTGTAGAAACATGCTAATAAAAAAAATCCAGATTATGTGACCATAAATCACCACAGGATGAATTAAGGCAAGCCCATTTCTGTTACTCTCAGGTGCTGCTTTAACCATGACTGCTGCTATGGTAAGGCAGAACAAGCAGGTTGTCACCCGAAGATAGAAAGTTACCACTGGGAATGTGAAGACAATGCTGTCGTCTGTGGTGAGTGAACAGTTCTATAGTTTTTGGTTGGTGGGGGGTTTTTTGTTTTCCTTTTTTTTTTTTTACTTCTACTGATTGTCTCATTGACTTCATAGAAAGACATTTTCCTAATTAACTGTAAAATTCTTATTTTACCATCCTTCCTTTTGTGACTTTTTTGTGAGGGTAAGCTCGCTCCAGAAAGTGAGCCAACCAACTGAATGCAGTTTCTTCTTCTTAATCCCCACGTACTGACATAAATAAGCAAACAAAATTCTGATCTACAAGCTTCTATTACCCTTTCAGAAAACACTGCCAAAAAAACCCCTCTTTTTACTCAGCATTTACATATGTTGAGGAACCCATGTTATGCTACTCCCTGCAGGTCTCCAGCTGGAGAGCAACTACAAACAGGAGGCAAGAAAATTACAACTGTTTAAAAAGGATCCTTTTTATACTTAGCAGAAAATATTTCACACCATTTATAAGTTTATGATGGACAAGTTTTTGGCATACTTACGACTGATCGGTTACACAGCCCACTGCTAGTGGCTGCAACTTATGAATGAATTCACAATTACAACTTACAATTTCAAACACTGAGGTAATAAAATATTTGATGAGTATGTTTATTTATGGAAGTAACATGTCCACAAGCCATAAAATGTTAATTTGAAGTTATTTACATAATTAGTGTACAAGTTGCAACAGATGGCTGACCACATCCTGATAAATTTTGTTTGATTGCTCCGAAACATGAATTTAATATACTTGCCATGCTATAATATAAAAGAGAAGGACAAAGAGATATCAAAGAAACAAACAAAAAACATTTAACAGGAAAAAGCAGCATTTCTTTTACATTATTTGTTCACAACTCGTGAAGTTTAAGCAAATATTTTCCAATACACTTCAAAGACTTTTTGAAACTATAACTTCTCACAAGCCCCCAGAAGTTGCAGGGTTTTTTCTTGTTGTTGTTAGGTTTTGGTTTTGCTTTGTTTTTAAATCAGGTGCTAGGTCAAAGTTACTTTGCGTGTAATTTTATGCTACTACCTAGAATGCAAATCAGCTTGAGAATTGGTTATTATTTGCACCACAAAAATGCAGACCTTTATATAAACTTGTTTACAACGAGTCTGAGTTTCTGACTACTATAGTTTAAAGGCAACACAGTAGGCCGTTCAGAGAAAACACAAAAACCTCTTATTTTGTAACTCAATTTAGAATTTGCCTGACTTGAAATCAAATGAAAGGTTTTTTTAATAATATTTCCTTTCCTCCTTTTCATTCAACCTTTACTTTGCCCAAGTGTCTACCTCACGCAGAATCTCTGCTTGCTGATTTCCTCCTCTGCTCCCAAAGTACTAAGCGTTTTCTTTCTCAAACTACCTGATTAACTGTCAAGTTACAGTCCACCTATATTTGGCTGTAAAGGTTCTGCTCCTGTTCCAGTCCAGAAGCTGACAACATTTTAAAATACTGGCCAAGGTAGTAGGCATGTCATCAGGAAACAAAGCTGAAACAAAGCTGAAACAAAGTCCCTGGCATACCATGGAGAAGATTAAGTTTGGAGCAATAACAAGAGAAGGAATAGTTCTTCTCAGTTAAGGTGTTTTTTTTTTTATCCTATCATGTTGTTTATGCTACTTATGCTATTGAGTAGTTCTTAGGGTAGCTAGTTGCAGTATCAACATATATACATTAAGAACACTTCTACTTCATAGCAGAATTTAAGTTCATTCACAAAACTGAACACTTGTTCTGCTCCTAGACAAATCTCAAGCAGAGATTCAGCTAAGCTTTCAAAATGTTAAATACTCAGACAAAATATAATCAAGGATTTTTCAGTTTACAGACAGTTGCAGAAAGAAAAACCACACATTTCTGGGTTGGCACAATAAAACCAAAATATGTTGCTGTAGAAGAAAACGTTCATGCCAAGAAGAAATGTTCATGCCAAGAAATCTGTTAAGTTACAACACTGCAGTTATAACACAAATACAGCCAGACATGGATTTTATCATCCTTAAACACACTTTACCTAACTTCTTACAGAATGCCTTAATAAAGGAAGGTGGGCAATTTAAGCTGAACATGGAACATCATTGCATCCCTTATTTCACATATATAATTTTAATGCTACATCCTTTAGTAGCTTAAAGCATATGTGAAATGGAAAAAATCTTCCCAAACTCAAGTTTCACTAGAGCAACAGGGCAGGCAGGGAGGGTCACGTACCACTTTCTAAAGAGAAATCAGTTATCAGCATTCCTTTATTAAAGAAGGTGAAGAAGAGTATTTAAGTCTTTATCCAATTATTGTATTTTCACCTTCCAAGATAGTTCCACTGATTATCAACTGTCACTAAACGAAACCATGCTTGTATATTTTCTGTTGCTGAGATATCCTAGCATGGAGCTCTGCCTAAAGAACACGAAAGAACTGGAAGTCTTACTAAAGCTCAGTACAGTTCCTATTGCACTTGCAATATATGAGCCATTTATATGGCAAATATGGAACGTGAGGTAGCAATTCTTGGTATTCCATTTGGTATTTTTAATTACTTCAGACTAACATCAAGCTTACTGTGTTTTCTTTCAGAATCACTAGAAGACAAATGTCAAAAAATGGCATGTGAATGTGACCGTGAAGCTGCCAAATGTTTTTCTAAAGCTCCCTATCACACAAAATACCTTTTGTGGCCAGACTTTATGTGTGGTGAGATTCAGCCTTTGTGTAGATATTAGATATACAGCAGTCTTTATGAAAACTCTGTATTTAAATCTAAAATTACTTTTTTTTTTGTCACAGTAGTGACAACAAATTATTTTCCCCTTTCTTCCTCCTCCTTCCTGCCACCTCAGCCTCTTCACCCCAGAATGGCCAAAGTAAACATTTATCCTCTTATTTACCTTCTACAGCGCATGGACTAAAAGCAAGTTCATTAGTTCTGTGTACGCTTTTGTTGACTAAATAGAAATTTGAATTTATCAGCATAAGGAGCAACTGACAAAATCAATTTAATTTATAATCAGATTCACAGATTTTTCAGATTCATAATATCATTCACTGTAAACTTTTCGTCCCCCCTCCACTGGCTGTAAGATACAAATCAAACTTTTCCACTAACATTTACCTTAACATTTGTTAACTTTGAATTGACCAGAAGAAATGCATGAAGTGACAGTGTCAGCACAAAGAGCCCTCTCATCTATATTAAACACTTACTCTGAAGCCTAATTTAACTTTTGCATCTCATTCACCTTAAGTAGTCCTACCTGTATTAAAAATTGCTTAATATAATTCTTTTTTTCTAGTATTTACTTTTTAAATACAGTTTTCTAAGAAGTTGTTCACTTGATATGGCTCAAGCTCCTTACTCTATGTACACCTTGAGTTTCCTGTAGGCACAGGGAGAAGTTCTACTCTTAAAACTTCAGAGCCAGATTTAAAAGTGCAAATGCAAACCATCACCAACACAGATACATGAAAAAAGTAGCAGTTACTGGGACCAACGGCCTTTTCCGTAAGTGTTTGATCTTGGACAGCACGAGTTTGCAAAGTTCAGAAATGAACATACCTCATAAGGATATAAAGATGGTTTTAGCTAGGGTCACTTCATAGTTTCTTGAAACCTTTTAGAAGAAAAATCAGTAACACGAATTGCCGAATAATACACTTTTTCATAATTGCAAATTTTAACAGTTTAAGAACCAGGAGTGTTTAATGTCTACTTTCACCCACCTCGCTTACTTAAAGTTGCAGGGCTACAGAACAAGTTTACACAAGTCAAAGCTAATGACAAGTACTTCAATGTTTAAAAAAAAAACAAACAAAAAACCAAGCCACTTCTTTAGGACGGATGAAGATTTCAAAACAGATCTTTAATCTTTAAAAATATTCATAGGCAAATTTAAAGTTCATAACAACACAGAATGCAAGGGGACAAAGCTCTTGGGGGGGGAATCTTACTTTTGCTTCAGTCAAAAACCATACGTTAACAAATGGTAATCCTGTTTATACAAAATAACTTTACAGTCAATATTCGCCCACAGATCCAGATACACACATTATATTGCAGTAAGATGTAATTAAAGTGTCAGGTCACTTTTGCAAAATAATCCTTTTAAAGGATAACCCTGAATTTAAGAATTAGCAACAGACTTCAAGAGGAGAGCATTAAAGAAGCTATTGATGAAGTCTAACTGATCTGAAAAAAAAAATTTGAATGGCAATCACCACATTTTCCAAAAGACAAGAAAACTCAAGCAGTCTTTGCCTTCAACAGGGGGAATTTTAGAACAAACTCTGCTGCGAGACTGTGTATTTGACAGCCACAACTTTACATGTAAAGCAGACTGAAAAGACTGAAGTACTTTCAATATCAAGCCTATCCAGGAAGAGCTTTCCTTTGGCAAACTTAAGTTGAGGAACACGTTGCTAGTATGAAATCCTAAGTTAAAAAAAATAAAAATTAAAAAAAAAAAATCACTGTAGCTGTTCAGAAGACACTGATTTTAAGGCAGGCTTGAAAATAACCAGAATGCACAAGACAGAATAGAGAAGTTTGATTTGATCAAAAATAGGGTGACATGACTATATAAGTTTTACATGGCTAAATTAGGAATGTAATTTTTTTTTTTTTCAATAGAAAATTCCTTTTGGATAATAAAGCCCATCCTCAGAGTTGGAATCAGCTGGTTTAAGAGTAACTTACATTAAGGCTTTTTTGTATGTTTAAGTTAACATAATCCACCACTTTCACTGCCACATATATAAAGAAGAAAAGCAAAGCTTATTTCAAATGTCCATTTTTAGAAGCTAAACAGCTCAAAAGTTCCAATGCCAGTCACTGCACTTGTGTCTCCAGACGCCTTACTTCTTTAACAACAAGATCAATGTTTATAATTGGGTTAAAGTACAAGGCCCAGTAAAACAAACAATTGCAGACAAACTGAGGAATAAAAGGCCAAAAAATGGTAACAAAAAGACCCTGGGTTGAGACTTTCCAGAAATGTCTCCACATTCTGTGAGGAATAGTCCTGTGAAAAAGGAAAGGGAGAGGCTTAGAGGAACTTTCCATTTTATTTTTACCCAATTCTAAGAAAAGCTAGTATGTGCTGCAGCCTCAAATTATTTAGCACCTATTCAGGTACCTGTAAAACATCATTTTGTACTCCAGAAAACTTTCTTAAAATACAGTAATACTAGATTTTATATGAGGAAGCATTAAGTCAATTTATTCGGACCACAAAGCACAGCAAGTTAAAGTGGTCAAATTCCAGATTTGTCATAGATTATTTCCATGTACCCTGTTCTTTTGAACATGTTCTGCCCCCTAGCTGCTGGCTGAGAAAGTGAAAACCCATTATACACCAAAACAAGAATTTCTCCTATGCAAGTTCTAAAAAGTATAAATAAAAGATCACCGCAATTATGAAGTAATATTAATATGCTTGAATTAAGGCTTAAGCAGTAACTGAAAACAGCAATTTTTATCACCTATCAGAAATAATAGCGTAACTAAACTTATTTATGATCCTGAGAACTCATCCTTTAATAACTATATTGTAAGCATATAATGACAAAGTTCTGATGTATTTAGTTCTCAGCTGACAGCTAATACCAGTTACCATAAAAGGCAATTCTCAGGGTAAGAGTTAATATTTACCCAATGGTGAAGAACATGCTTTTTACCGTTACTGCATTTGCTACATCTGATCAGTAAAACCAGCTATAAGAAACCCTTTCAAGTATTCACAGAAATAAAGATATTCAAGAGTGAGTACTAGTATATGTGCGGATTCAGATTCATGTGTTCTTATTAACCTCAGAGTTGTGGTTAGACACTGTCATTTCAGTGAGCAACTGTGAAATCGTAAGACTGCTATTTCTATTTATAATGTACTTCCTACCCTCTTCAACGAGCTCAGTAAGACTTACTTCAATTCTCTTCTTGACCAGAGCCTCCAAAAGGAGAATAATTCCAGAACAGAGAGTAACATAGCATTTACAATTATAAATCTTGATGTCCAGTAGTGCACATCCAGCCAATCCCAAGCAAATTCAGCTATCAACTGATATGGCAAAAATAAATACTTTACAATGAATTCTCTCCACTGTTTCCAAGAAGGATCTTTAAGGTCCTGTAAATTAGGATAAAAAGACTGTTAATAAATTTCCTATTAAACAGACACAATACTGGCTTATTTCCATGTGGTGGGTTGACCCTGGCTGGACACCAGGTACCCACCAAAGCCGCTCTATCACTCCCCTCCTCAGCTGGACAGGGGAGAGGAAATATAACGAAAGGCTCATGGGTCGAGATGAGGACAGGGAGAGATCACTCAGCAATTACTGTCACAGGCAAAACAGACTCAACTTGGGGAAATTAGTTTAATTTATTACTGATCAAATCAGAGGATAATGAGAAATAAAACCAAATCTTAAAAACACCTTCCCCCCACCCATCCCTTCTTCCTGGGCTTAACTTTACTCCCAAATTCTCTGCCTCCTGCCAGACCTGAGTGGTGCAGGGGGATGGGGTCAGTTCATCACACGCTGTCTCTGCTGCTCCTTCCTCCTCAGGGAGAGGACTCCTCACACTCTTCCCTGGCTCCAGCGTGGGGTCCCTCCCATGGGAGACAGTCCTCCATGAACTTCTCCAATGTGAGTCCTTCCCATAGGCTGCAGTTCTTCACAAACTGCTCCAGCGTGGGTCCTTTCCACGGGGTGCAGTCCTTCAGGAACAGACTGCTCCAGCGTGGGTCTCCCAAAGGGTCACAAGTCTTGCCAGCAAACCTGCTCCAGCGTGGGCTCCTCTCTACACAAATCCACAGGTCCTGCCAGGACCCTGCTCCAGCGTGGGCTCTCCACGGGGTCACAGCCTCCTTCAGGCATCCACCTTCTCCAGCATGGGGTCCTCCACAGGCTGCAGGTGGATATCTGCTCCACCATGGACCTCCATGGACTGCAGGGGGACAGCCTGCCTCACCATGGTCTTCACCAAGGGCTGCAGGGGAATCTCTGCTCCAGTGCCTGGAGCACCTCCTCCCCCTCCTTCTTCACTGGCCTTGGTGTCTGCAGAGTTGTTTCTCTCACATATTCTCACTCCTCTCTCCAGCTGCAAGTGTGCAGGTTTCTTTTCCCCTCCCCCCTTCTTAAATACGTTGTCCCAGCGGTGCTACCGCCGTCGCTGATGGGCTCAGCCTTGGCCAGCAGCAGGTCCGTCTTGGGGCTGGCTGGCATTGGCTCTATCAGACACAGGGGAAGCTTCTAGCAGCTTCTCACAGAAGCCACCCCTGTGGCCCCCCCCACTACCCAAACCTTGCCATGCCAACCCAATACCCCCCCCTCGCCCCTTGCCATGCAAACCCAATACACTCCAAAACTCTTTTGTTGAAAAATTGTTTTTTCACACATTGAAAGCTGTAATTTATCTTTACCATACTTTCTGGTAGATAAAACTATAACCCAGTAATAACCATTAGATTAGAATAAAACATCACAGACAGCCAGATCTTATAATGCCATTTGTTAAAACACAGGTATTTTGAGTGAACAGCCTTTCTATAGTCATGTGAACTTCAAAAAAACCAGTTTCACAGATTTTAAGTCTTAAAAGTCTTAAATCAATCTTATTAAAGGTAATGGTCACAACACTGGTGATCACATAAACTAAAAATCAAGGAACCACTTATTTTGTAGGACTTTTTTTTTAAAGTTGTATTGTAAAGAGATGAAATGGTGAATAATTACATCATGTGTTTTTATGCTGCTAGTCTTAAAAAGCTTGTAACTAAAGTAAGTAGCATATTCATTATTTTGAACACTTACTAGTAGTTTTGTGACAGTATCTTCATACTTGTCTTCTTGCATAGGGCAAATTGTGTGGATGAAAGGTAGGAAAGCTTCTGCGTAATCAAACAAATATAGGTATAACAAACTGAGTCTTGGAGAACTCTTCAGTGCATACAGAAGAAAGAGTGATTTTCCTGGATTTACTGCCTGAAAAGTATCAAAGTATCAAGTTTCAAACAGTGAAAAAATAAAATGAAAGGGACATGCTAGTTCTTAAATTTTTCTGACTATCATTTTTCAAAGGATCATTTTTCAAATACAACAGTTCATTAAACTGAGCAGTTTTTACAAGGGTAATTCTACTACCTCAACACTGCTCCTGGCTTTAAGAGAATTTTCTTTTAAAGATATTATTTTAAAAGTATTTAATATACATGACATACTTTATACAAAGTTTACCTTATATTCCCAAAGGTTCTGTGGTGGTTTAACGCCTAAAGTTTTCACACATTCCAGTTCTGCCATAATAGCTTTTCTATGGTTACTGTTCTCTATACTGTAAGGCTCTTTCGTGAAATCCTCCTCTGTCAGTGTTAGGAGGAGTCTACAAAAGCAGAATTCAGAAGGTAAGCAGTGCCTCTTCACCAAAAAGATATAACTAACAAATTAGCAATTGCATACTGAAACAATAAGCTACTGATAGAAGGTATCACCTTTTGGATTACATTCCATATCAAGTGTTCTGAATCAACTGCATCTCAGAGCCTGGGTTTTAAATATCCTTCTTTTCAAGTTTTCTCTTGCCTGCTTTCAGCATGCAAATTTATCAGCTTGTTGGCTATTATTCAACACAGTTCTTCAGTACTTCACAGATCTAGTCTGGTCTCCTGAAATCAAACCTAGAGCTCTTGGGTGGAATGCAACAATGCATATAGCATATGCATATTTTCACAAGAAAGAAAAGGTGGGAGGGGTGGATAATACATTAGTAGAATTCTACTTTCAGTATCATTTCAGTCTGCATTGTCAGCATTTAAAAGAGTTCTTAGAGAATTTGCAGTTAGCTTGCTTAGTATCTACTACTAAACTTTTCAACTACCAACGTTAAAACTTCCCCTGAACTTTTTTCTTATACATCAACAGAATATTCCCACAATCTATGGAACGAAGTATGGTCATTTCACAATATACCGTCCCTAATGAAAGCCATCCAGCAGTCCAAATGATAGCTGTTCTTGACAATTAGGCCTCTCACCTTCCATTCACTTTCTCCAGTAAAAATCTTTCTTTATAATGTGAAGCCCATGGGCCCAGCTGCTCTAGCCAAAGTATCACTTCCTCAGCAGTCCATTTAGCAACAGGCTTGTGGACAAGATGATCTTCTTCAAATTCTCTGCTACTCCAGTGATATCCAAGTAGAACCACCTAGAGGTAGATTTAAAAAAAAAAAAAAAAAGATCATTTACCTGCAAAGCAAATACATTAATGATACAAATAAACACACATTAAGGGGCTTGACATGTAAAATCTTCCATTTTATGGACCCTAGAATATTCAGGTTATAAGAAAGTATCTTGAAGTTTTACCCAATTTGTCTAACTTCTGTTTGCTGTATATTGCAATTGTACTTCCTGACAGACAACTCTCAATGCTACCTTATTTACTCCGCTCAGCTCAAGTATCTTCTGTGCTGGCGATATTTTTATGTGCATGTAATTTAAGTATATTTGATTGCATGCTTAATGAAGTAAATATGGAAAACCAACCAGATGAAACTTACTGCTACGCAAGTTAAAGCTGTTAGAACGCCTGAGAAAAACCCTCCTCCTCGAGGATTTATTCCTCCTGTGTTCGGAACTGTAGGGATCTGGTCATTCCCATATTTTTGGAAGGTTGCTAAGCTGCGTGCTACATCACTGTTTTGTTGAATATCTTCTTTTCTTTGTTCAATGGCATCAGAAAATAGCTTTTCAATAACATCCCTAATGGGAAAAATATTTGTCATTGTACTATAACCATTGAGGCTTAACATTCAGAAAAGGGACCGATTTTTGTTTTCCAGCCTCTACTAAGGACTGTCATCTTTGAAAACAAGAAAACATTAGTTATTAATACTTCGTAAAGTTAAACTTAAATCAATTACTTCCAAACAACATTTTCCTTAGCTTCTAAAGATAGAGGAAGTTAAAATATCACATTAAAAAAAAAGTCTTATTTCTTATATAAAACTAAAATTGTGTGTGCTACTGGCAAGCCTTGATTATTCAAAAATGCTAAGCAAAAGACCACATAAAAGCCTACCATCAATCCTACCATCTGTTTATTAAAATATTATTAACCTAAGATAAAGTACTATTAACACAAGAACTTATAGGTAATTCAAGACAGCAAATTGATATTTCTAGCTTTGTTCTGCAATAAGACCACATTTCTTCCTATAAATAATTCCTATTACGGAAATTACACAATTATCAGAGATCATTCTAACTTAGAATTATTAGGAAACAAACAGCTGTATTAAAAGATGCAAGTGTCTCAATACTAAAAAAGGATCCCTCCTCTCCATCCCCAAAAAAGTTCAGAAGGGGAGGAGAACCAAAACCCAAAACAAAGCCAACCAAACCACCCCTTAGTTTCACGCAGAAAAATGTGATTGAACAGTTCAGTACAAGGGCAGAACATGAAAGACTTCAGGATTTAAACATCCCTGCGACAGTTCAGATTACCAATAAACTATGAAAATCTGCAGCAAACTCAAGAAACCAGACAACTAATTTCAGTGGTTTTAGAAATCCAAAAATGACATAGTACACTCACCTGAGGAGGATGTTGACTTTGGGGAATCCTTCCCATTTTTCTCTGCATTCGGGGCATTCACTCTTCTTGGACGATACCCACCACAAAGCTAGGCAGTGTCTACAGAAACTATGCCCACAGTTAAGGGTGGTGGGATTGACCAGAATGTCGTAACAGCAGTGGCAAAGGAACTCACTAACTGATATCTGCCGACCGATCTCAGGAGTAGCATGTGTTTCAACTTCTGCCCTCTCGGTTTCACCTTGTAAAGTCTCATCTTCTTCCATTTTCTTTTATGCCTTATGCAAACAGAAAGCTCTCTTAGATCTTCAAACCAGGTAAGGCATTACTTCTGCAAAGCAACAAGATAAACCTCATTAAGAAAAAAGTTACTATAGAAGTTTAGAATTGCAAGCAGTATAATTTATCACTGTAATTCTTTTGTTGCTCTGATGGTTTTAAACTTTTTAACTAACTTAACTCCCCCCAAAATGAAACATGATGATCTACTTTTTCAACAACATATTCATTGCAAACTACAACCAAAACCATACTCTAGATGTAAACAGCTGGGCTCAATCTATTATTTTATTTTCCTGTGTTACATAACACATGAAAGTGAAACAAAAAACCTCACTATGATTCAGATGACTTTTGACAGTGCCTTTAATCAAGGTTTTAGTAAAAGACACCAATCAAAGGAAGTATCATTAGAAAATACCATCAGAGAATACAAAAATAAAACACCAGTATAACGTAATGATGTAGTTTACTCCACCACTATTCTTTCCAAGCATTACTAACAAAGGTCAATGCTAGATATTGCTGGGCAATGTTTAAAAAAAAAAAAAAAAATTCGATCCAAAGTCATATGCTTCAGAATTGTTAAGGGATTGATCTGGATCGATCTGCTTGCCATCTCAGTGAAGGACTGAACTCCGTATTAACTTTATTAGTAATTACTCTTTGCTAGTATTTCAGAAAATGCACAAATGAGAAGAGTTTAAGATTGTTCCAAGCTTACCAAAAATATAAACCTATTTGCTTGATGTTCCTACTATATTCTCTCAGATGGCTGTATCTAGTTTCTTAAGAAAAACACTGATCCATATCACTTGCTTATCAGTCATGATATGTTAGAAGCTATCAAAAACTATACAATTTTCTCCTCAGACACTACCACACCAAAATATGCTTACGCTCTCCACGATGTGGCTCCTGCTTACTACTAAGTTACCATCTTTCCATCCAGATCAAGCACAAAGAGGTAAGCATACAAGTTAGTAAAGAATTAAAAAAAAAAACAAACAAGCAGTACAGAAATACAAACTGATAGTGCAACTAGGATCCTCAGACTGCTTACAAACATGTCTTTTCCCAGCAAAGATTGTTGGCTTTCTAAAAGACAAACCTGAAACATCACATACAAGAGGAGAAATAAAAACAAGGTTTTGCACCCAAGAACATTCTTCTAGTTTTCCTGGAAGAGGAGAGGCAACAGGATTTCTGTGGGTGCAAAAATATTTCACCGCTCAGTCTCTGCACCAAATAAGACAAGGGTCACAAGTAGAAAGCTTACTAGCTTCTCTCCTGCCTCCTTCCAACTTCAGCCTGCTTCCTCCCCCTCTGCGCTGCTACCAAAACCGAGGCACCGATGGTTCGGGCCTGCAGCGACGTGACGGTCGTTTCCTCCCCCCAGGGAAGCCAGGGCCCATCTCGGGGGCGTCACCAGCCCATCCCTTCCCACGCTCCCCGCAGCAGAGGGGAACCCAGCGAAACGCCACCGCTCAGGCAGCCCCAGGCAGCAAGCACAGGCGAAGG